CTTTCCCTCCACCTCCCTACCCTCCTCCCTCCCCTCCACCTCCTGCGCCTCCAATGTGACAGCAGCACAGCTGTTTGTATTTGGGAGCGAGCATGCATGTGCCCACCTTGCCATGCTTGTCCGCCCGTCTGCCCCATCCGCACTTACAGCTCACCACACTGCCCCACTCACGCCCATCACTCCACATGCCACCTGCACACCCACTGACCCTCTCCCTGCCGCCACTCCCTCCACCCTCTCCCTCTCTTTCTCCCGCTTCTCCTCCCTCTCATCCTCCTCTCCCTCTCTCTCCATACAAGATACATCCCTCCTCCTCTAACCACTCCCCTCCCTTCTCCATGTTCCCCTCCCCTTCTCTCCCCATCCCATGCTACTCTCCCGCACCTCCATCCCCCGTCTCTCACACACCATTCGCCGCACCCGCCTCTGCACCTCCCTCCTCTCCACCTCCCACAACGCCCCTCCCCTCACAACCGTACCCCCTCCCTGTGACCTCTCTGCTGTGACAAATGTGCAGATGCGCCAAGCCTTGCCGGCCGGGATGGGTGGTCGGCGCACGGGAGGGGCGGCAGGGGGCGGGAGAAGAGGAGAAGCGCCGCCTCGGAGCCACTAGCAGCTGCTGGGACGATGCGAGAGCCGTTGTCTTGGGGGGGGGGGGAGGATGTGCGGGGAAGGGAGGGAGGGGAGGGAAGGGAGTCGATTAAAAAGTCACCTCGAGCCACTGGCAGCTGTTGGGACGATGCAGGAGCCGTTGACTGAAAGGTGAAAAGGGTGGGAGAAGTGGGGGAGAAAGGGAAGGGGGAAGGGCGGTGCGCACAAGGTGCGTGCAAGGGATGGGGGGAAAGATTGTGGGGCCAGGGGAAAGACGGTGGGCAGAGGGGAAACAATGATGAGGTAATGGGGAGGTGCAGGACAAGGAGGAGGTGCAGGACAAGGAGAGGAAAGACAATGAAGGAAGGGAGGTGCAGGTGGGACGAGTGAGGCATGAGGAAAGGTAATTGTGTTGTGAGGGCACAAGCCATCTTGGTGCGACTTCTGAGAAATCTCAAAAGTCGCACCATTAAAAGCCATGTACGAGCAAAACGGCGGATAGGAAACGATGATCTCGATCTGATATAGTGCTGAGAGCAGGAGGGCGAGATATAGCAGGAGGGCGAGATATAGCAGGAGGGCGAGATATAGCAGGAGGGCGAGATATAGCAGGAGGAGGGGGGAGAGAGAGAGGGAAAATGAAGGGAGCTTAGTTACCCAGCAAGAGGGTGTGGGTGGAAAGAGGGGTGAGGCGCTGCAGCTAGAGGTTGGTTACCAAGGAGCCACGAGCACGCCGTGCTTGCACCGCACACGGCCCACACACACCCTGCTGCTGCCGTCCCTCTCCTCTGCAGAAAGATAAACACACGCCCCTCCTGCCACTCCTCATCACCATCCCATCCACTCCCCTCACTCGACGCCACACGCCCCTTCTCCCACTCGTCCTCCTCATCCCATCCATCCCCCTCCCTCCACGCCCCTGTCCCCCCATCATCGCCTTCAAACCACTCCTCTCCACTCGCCTCCTCTCCACTCGCCTCCTCTCCACTCGCCTCCTCTCCACTCGCGCTGTTTCCATTTCTCTCGCCTCACTTGTCCTCTGTTCTCTCCTCGTTGCACTTGTCAAGTCTCTGCTCTCTGCCTGCCCTTCCCCCCCCCTGTTGCTTCCTTTCCCCTCTCTCTCACTCCCTTCCCTTTCCCTCTTAGTCGACACATCTCATCCCACCCCCTTCCGGCCCCATCGGTCCCCACCCATCCACCACACCCCTCTCCCCCCCCATGCTCCTCCTCCTGCCTCGTCGCCCCGAGCACATGCCGCCACCATCCCTTCCCCCCACCCACACGCTCCTGCACGCACTCCCCCCCCATCTCCCCATCTGCTGAACCCCATCTGCCCTTTCGCCATCTCCTCCCTCTCCTTCCTCGCCCTGCATGCTCCCTTCCTCCTCTTGCTCCATCTCACACGCTTCCTCTCCCTCTCCCTCGCCCCCGCCACCAACCGCCTCTCCCCCATCCTCGAATGGTCCTCCATTAAATAAGCAAGATAGTACAGCACATTCGTAATACAGCCATACAAGCAAGGCAAGGTAAAACTAAGGCATCTCGAGCTCGGGCACGAGCACGTGCATGAGATCTCCCGTGCTCAGAGGCTCCCCCTGGAAGGCCGTGGGGGCCGACTCAGCTGTAAACGCCGTCAAGGTCTTGGCAGCTAGCGCGGTTGCTTGCGCGCGTTGGCCTCCCATTATCTTCCTTCACTCCACGCCCGTCCATTTACCCTCTGCCACACTCCCACGTTATATCACATTTCTCCTTGCTGCCGTCCTGTCTGCTGCTGTCCTGTCTGCTGCCGCCCTGCCTGCTGCCGCCCAAGCCTGTGGGTTGGGCAGGGCAAGGCCTCCCCTCCCTCACACACTCGTGCTGGCAGCGGCAGGGCGGGGGGGGGCACATAGACAGCAGACACACGGAGTGCACTTTTGCTAGCTTGGGAAGGAGGGTGGAATGGAAAAGAGGGGGGGGTGGGAGGGGAGGGGTAAAGGAAAGGGCGTTAAGAAAGGCGCAGGGGGCGGGGGCCTCACAGGCAGCAGGCATGCGGAGTGCACTGCTGCTAGCTGGGGAGGGGGGAAAAGGTCAGGGGGGTAATATAGGCACCGCGTGGGTGCTTATGAACAACATTCCGAGATAACAACCCACAGCAGCATGAGCAGTGAGTGGAGCAGTCAGCACGCCATCACCACCCATCACCACCCATCACCACCCCTCTCTCACCCAGCATCGAATGCGCATTCCCTCTCCACCCACTCCTCCTGCCACCCCTACTCCACTCACACCTTCCTCCCCCCATCTTCACTCCCGCTGCCCCTCTCTCCTCCCCACCCCTTCCCTGCTGCATGCACTACCCATTTCCCCCCATGCCTGCGCCACTGCCTCTACCCCACCCTCCTCCCCACCCTCCTCCCCATCCTCCTCTCCACCCTCCCACCCTCCTCCCCATCCTCCTCTCCACCCTCCCAACCCTCCTCTCCATCTTCCTGCCATGCGATGCCATGGCAGCAGGTGGTGGTGCCACCTCTTGAGCGGGCAGCGCTGCAGCGCGGCAGATGGGCAGGTCACCTGAGGTGAGGTGGGGCGTGGTGGGCGGAGAGAGATTGGCGACCGCCGTGACACGTGGAACAGCAAGGCAGCAGGGAGAAGAGCACTCAACCGTAGTGACACCCAGCCAAGGCACTTGCTCCAAGTGTAAGACACCAAGGCAGCAGAGCAAGTGCAATCCTGGGGATGCTGACAGGCCACAACAGCAGCGGCGTGTGCGGTGGGCAGCAGCAGGGCGTTGCGGAGATGGCGCCCCCACTCACACGCCCGGGGGGATGGGGGACGCTGCTCGCATGCTGGGATGGGTGCTGCGATGGGTGCTGGGGAAAGTGGTAGGGTGGATGAGCGGGTGCATGTACACAAACACATGCACCTGCCGCCCACTCGCCACGTGGCGCGCACACACCACGCCCCACCTCACTTCGTCACTCTCCCCACACCCGGCGCTGCCACGCTGGCAGGTGGGTGGCAGGTGGGTGGCAGGTGGGTGGCAGGTAGGTGGCAGCGCGCGGCTGGCTACCCAGCAGGTGAACCCCACCTCGCCCTCCCCTCGACCCCTCCCACCCTCGCACTCCCCACCTTTCCTTCACGCTCATTCGGCTGCCGCCGGTGATGGTAATCGCGCTGCCACTGCGGCTGCGGCGCTGCACCGCTGAAAGGCACGCGCATGCTAGCATCGGGGATACTAGCAGCACACATGACGGCACGGGCATCTTCAGCAGGCGAGCAGGGCGGCGGCGGGCACGGCAGGAGGCAGGCGGAGACGACGAGGTGGTCGGTGGAGACCACGCGCGCGCGCGCGCCATGGCCGCGCACAGCATTCCGCGCACCTGCGTTCTCCGCCGCTGCTCCCCCCGCCGCTGCTCCCCCCGCCGCTGCTCGCTCTCGTCGCTGCTGCTTCTCTCGCAGCGACCGCTACCGATACGGTTATCGTGCGCGTGATTGTTATCGTACTGACGGCAATGGAGTCTGTCGCGTCGCGCCGCGCCGCGCCGGCGCGTCGTGACGAGATTTTGATAAAATTAATGTGCGGACGTGCGGACGTGCGGACATGCGGATAAGCGGAATGAGGAGCGTCTACAGCAGCTCTGCACATTCGTTGCTGCCTGATGAGAGTCGCCGCTCTTGGGAATGAAATGCAAGTTCTGGGTAGAGGCAGGAAGCGAGTTGTGACAACTCACGTTAACGAGTGTGGAAAGATGGGTGGGAAAGATCTGGTTAGAAAGATCAGGGGTCGAAAGACGCGGTGGGAGAAAAGCGGGTGGGAGAAAACGGGTGGGAGAAAACGGGTGGGAGAAAACGGGTGGGAGAAAACGGGTGGGAGAAAACGGGTGGGAGAAAACGGGTGGGAGAAAACGGGTGGGAGAAAACGGGTGGGAGAAAACGGGTGGGAGAAAACGGGTGGGAGAAAACGGGTGGGAGAAAACGGGTGGGAGAAAACGGGTGGGAGAAAACGGGTGGGAGAAAACGGGTGGGAGAAAACGGGTGGGAGAAAACGGGTGGGAGAAAACGGGTGGGAGAAAACGGGTGGGAGAAGCGGGTGGTAAAATACTGTACAAAAGGGTTGGTAATGGTCTCGTGGCACGAGCCTGCGAGAGAAACCTCCGCCGCGCACTCAGCCTCGCTATCCCTCCACCGCTGGGAGCGGGGGTTTTCGCTGCTCGGTTTCCCGCCTCACGCGGTGCCCCCCACTCTAACCGCCACGTCACCCACCCTTCCAGGCGGATGCCGCTGCGGACTCTCAGCTTGGAGCGGACGAGTCATCGATGTGGCAGGCGAAGGGTCTCGCAGGTGTGCGACAATCCCAAGGGTTGGCCCCCGCTCGGGTTACAGACGAGCGCGACCACGTCCGGCGATTTCGGAAGTCAACTTTTCTAAACATGAAGAGCGACACAAAGCATATCATTACTTTGTGGTCACATGTCATCCCCACACCTCAACGTTACAGCTGTCACTCTCTCCTGAACCAAAACCAAACGAAAGCACCTCCCCTCGTAGAATTCTTGAAAACTGTTCAGGCTCTTGTTCTGACCGCACCTCTGCTTCCTGCCGCGCCTTTCCAAACAGACTCCTCTCCGGCCGCCGTTCCAACCTTCAGTCGCCACCCTCGCCGCCATCCGCGATTAAGCCACGCGACCAGCGATTTTTCCGCTAGCTGCTTCCCTCTGCTCTTCGTGTAATGGAGAGAACGAATCAGTCTACGCCACGTGGCGTGGATCAACACCACCTCCACACGAACCGTGTAACTATTCGCGAACGGCTTCGCGAATGGAAGAATCGCGTCAAGTGTCGCGCGCAGGGGTTGTACGCATCGGGTTACCACAACGGTTACGGATCTGCTCCCTACGGCTCGCTTCAAGCGTCCGTCGCGGCGGGCGGTGGTCGCAAGGCGGCGATGGCGACGGCGGCGGCTGCGGCGACCTCGTCTCTGGCGGCGGTGCGCGTGTTTAAGGGAAACAGCGTGCTCGCGCAATTCAAGGCGCGAATCACGGCGCGATTTGCGGAGGGGCCGGCGGTTCTCCTGGCTGACTCGGCGGAAAGGCAAGGCGCAGCAGGAGCAGAGGCGTTGAGAGCAAGAGGGATAGAGGCGACGTGCGAGATTGGGGAGAGAGGCGAGGCGGAGCGGGTGGCCGTGGAGAGCGGGGCAGATGGGGCGACGCAGGCGGTGGTGGTGGGGGGTTTAGGGTGTGGGGAGGAGCAGAGCGCGGCAGTGCGCATGGCGCAGGCGGTGCTGCTGCCCGCCCTGGGCGCCGTATCACACGCCTTCATGCACGGCCTCAACCGCACTGAGGTGCGCTCAACCGCACTCAACCGCTCCAAGGCGGGCTGATGTGTGTGTCTGCTGTCTTGTGCATTGGTGCTGGCCTTGCTCCCTCCCACCATCCATGCTACACCATAACAAATATATTATGACGAAAATAGTATGCCAACCAACTAGCATGACAATTTGAATTTGTTCTGTATTCAACATTTAGGTTTTGTGTGTTTTGTATTAGGTCGCGTATCGGTTGTTTTGCTCGTCTCAAGGTTGCTTATTGCAGGCGTATGTTCCCCCCTCCACTCGCTCCCTCTTTCCCCCAACTCTCTGCCTCGCTGTTCCCCATCCACTCCCCCACGCGCATCCGCAACCCCACTCCCTTTCCATGCCCGTCCCCCTCCGCCCACACTCGCCCACACCCCCCATCAGGTGATAGACGCGCACAAGCTCACGGACGCCATCGCCCACCGCCCTCCTGGCACGCCCCTCCTCACGGTACCACCACTGCCCCCCCCTGTGCTGTCCTGTGCTGCTGAACCCGCCCATGTGCTCTTGCCTCCAAGTGCGTGTGCATCTCATGACCAGCACCATGACCATGCTTCACGCCCCTTCCACCCTTGCATCCCTCGCCCTCCCGCTCCTCTCCTTTTCCCTCCCCTGCTGTTTGTAAGGCACGCTTAAGAGTCACACTCCCTTGTACTCTCTCCCTTTGCTCCCACACCTGACAGTCCATCCATTCACCCTTGCCCTTTTCCCGATGTCCTTTGCTCCACCCCCCCGTCACCCACTCCTGTCTCTCCCTCTCCACCTCTCTCCTGCCGCATGCCCTTGGAGTCGTGATTCATATGCTTCTTATTCCTTGCCTTTTTTAATTTCCTGCCACGTCACCCGCTCCTGCCCCTCCTCCGCCACGTCACCATGTGTCACCATGTGGTAGCAGGACTGATGGCCCCCTCGTTCATCCATCTACCATTGCCCCTTATCCTCTTTTCGCGGTGCCTCCTATCTCTCCATTCCCCCACCCACCACCAGGTAGCCAATCACGTGGCAGCAATGGACGACCCACTGGTCATGGCAGCGGTGGTGCCGCCATCCCTCATGCTCGCCCGCCCCGCCGCTCTCCGCTGGACCCTCTGTGCCTCCGACCGCTGCTTCTCCTCTCCGCTGCTCTCCGCTTTCTTCACCTCGCTTCGAGCTTTACCTGTGGAGAGGGGAGGGGGGTTGAAGCAGCCGGTGAGTTGAATTGGGAGGGGACGGAAGGGTGTCCAGCAGACAGTAAGCCCGCCCGCCCCTACTTTCTCCGCTGGACCCACTGTGTCACCCACCACTGCTTCTCCTCTCCCCTGCTTCTCCTCTCCCATGCTTGTTGCGTTCTTCACCTCGCTGCGGGCTCTTCCTGTGGAACGGGGAGGGGGATTGCAGCAACAGGTTAGCAGTGGGAAGGGAAGGGTGGGACGTGGGGGAAGGTGGAGCAAGGGGACCCTCTATGCCTCCCAGTGCTGCTTCTCCTCTCTGCTTTCTTCACCTCACTGCGGGCTTTTACCTGTTGAACAGGGGAGAGGGCTGCAGCAACCGGCTGAAGCCCGTATTCTTTACTCTCCACTGCACGCCATGCCCCTCCCTCCTCTCTCCCCTCCCTACCCACCCCACTTGACTTGATCCATGTTTTGAGTCGACGCAAAACACTTCTCTCCCCTCCCAACCCATCTGTCTGGAGCATGCCACCTTGTGTTTAGGTGCCCTGCAGCGGTTGGGCGAGGGCGGATAGGTACACATCATAAGGACGTGTCAACCCCTCTCCTCCCCCTCCCAACCCCCTGCAGGGCATGGTGGCAGCAGCGCAGCGGCTGAGCGAGGGCGGGTGGGTGCACATCTTCCCCGAGGGCACTCGCTCGCTGGATGGCGGCCGCACCCTTGGCCCCATGCGGCGCGGTGTTGCCTGGTAAGGGCAGGGGGGTGGGGAGGGCAGGGGGTGTGGGGAGGGGAGGGTAAAGTGGGGGGTGCGAGAGGGTGAAGTGAAGTGAGGGTGAGGGTGATGGTGGTGGTGGGGCTGGACTCTGGAGGAGGGCGGAAGGGTGGGGTGAGGGGGGGTTGAGTTGAGGGTGGTGTAACGGATATAGGGTGATTATTGTGGTGTATGGGGGAATCCGCATGGAGAGATGTGGGTATGTGGTGCCACGTGGAAACGCATTTTGCCTTTCAAGTTCTGAAATGCCTTCAATCAATAATCACACACCTTGTTGCTCATCACACACCTTGCTGCTCTTCACACACCTTGCTGCTCTTCACACACCTTGCTGCTCTTCACACACCTTGCTGCTCTTCACACACCTTGCTGCTCTTCACACACCTTGCTGCTCTTCACACACCTTGCTGCTCTTCACACACCTTGCTGCTCTTCACACACCTTGCTGCTCTTCACACACCTTGCTGCTCTTCACACACCTTGCTGCTCTTCACACACCTTGCTGCTCTTCACACACCTTGCTGCTCTTCACACACCTTGCTGCTCTTCACACACCTTGCTGCTCTTCACACACCTTGCTGCTCTTCACACACCTTGCTGCTCTTCACACACCTTGCTGCTCTTCACACACCTTGCTGCTCTTCACACACCTTGCTGCTCTTCACACACCTTGCTGCTCTTCACACACCTTGCTGCTCTTCACACACCTTGCTGCTCTTCACACACCTTGCTGCTCTTCACACACCTTGCTGCTCTTCACACACCTTGCTGCTCTTCACCTTCATCCCTTCCCAACCCTCACCCCCACTCGTCACCCCCTCCACGACCCCTCGTCATGATTCCAACGCCACAATGACCACCCTCCACACAACCCTCCGCGATTTGCATGTTGCTAGCACACAATACCGTCACTCACCAACTCCCCTGCCCATCCCCCCCTTCCCTCCTCTCCCCCTCTCCCCCCCCTTTTCCCCATGTCCCCCCCGAACTTCCCCCTCCGCCAGGCTGGCAGCGCAGTGCTTGGTGCCGCCGCTCATCATCCCAGTGGTGCATGTCGGCATGCACCGCGTGCAAGCTAGAGGACAAACGCTGCCGGCCACAGGCCAACAGGTAAAGCAAGCTTTCTTATCCTTGCACAATCATGCTCATCCTTGCAATCATGCCCATCCTTGCAATCATGCCCATCCTTGCAATCATGCCCATCCTTGCACATTCATGCCATCCTTGCACATTCATGCCATCCTTGCACATTCATGCCATCCTTGCACATTCATGCCCATCCTTGCACATGGCCTCCATGCTCCCTTCCTTGGACCTTCCACTGCTGCCTTCATCTCCATCCACCCTCCCGCCTCTATCCTCTCGGTTTTCTCAATCGTTTGATTTGGGCACATTTGTTAGCACGTCAACAGAAAGTGCGATTCTGGCCACACTCGCCACAGAGAATGTTCCTATCCGGCTTACGTCTTGCATTAAGTTTCTGCCTTCCTGCCCCACTTCTCCACCCTCCCTGTTTCCACCCAGCCCTCCCCACTCTCCGTTTTCCTCCCTCCCGTCCCCTCCCTCCCTTGCGCTCATCTTGCAATTGAGAATGATGGCTGGCAGCCGGGTGGGCACCAACTGTCACGCACACACGCACACACGCACATACACATCTCACTCCTATCTTCCGCCCTCCTCTCTCGCCTCTCCCCACCCTGTCCTCTCCTCGCGCAGGTGGCAGTGATGGTGGGTGATCCCATTGACATCTCTGACCTGCTGCACGCTTACCGCCATCAGCAGCACCACCACCAGCAGCAGCAGCACCACCACTACCACACCCAGCACGCACAGCCTGACCACCACACTGCTGCCAGCAGCAGCAGCACCAGCAACTGCACCAGCAACTGCACCCTCGCCCCCGCCCACCCTCTCTCCTCCCCCGCACCGCATCCCCCTCCGCCCCCCCCTGCGCTGCTGGACGCCATCTGTGCGCGCATAGGGGCGGAACTACAGCGCCTGCACTCCCACCTGCTGGCGCGTGAAAGCCACCTGCTTGAAGCGGGCGCTGCACTGGAAGGGGCTTTGCCGCGGGATGAGTCGCTAGCAGTGGAGGGGTGTGTGGCAGGCGTGGAGGCTGATAGGGAACTGGCAGCGCTGATGTGTGGGACAGGAGTGATGGATGCTACGGACTGCTGCAGTGACGTCAGTGCAGCAACGTCCACTCACGTTTCTTTAGAGAGCAGAGCGGACGGCAAAGCAGAGGGCGGTGGGTGGGAGTTGAGCCAGCCGAATCACCCGCACTGGCAAATACACCCCACTGGCAGTCGCGTTTCACATTGGCCCTTAACCCTCGCTGCCCATCCCCTCACCTGTTTGGAGGACCGCACATGGCCCTCCCTCGCTCTCGCCTCCCACATGGCTGATGCTTCACCCTCTGCTGTCAGCAGCAGCAGCCGTGGTGCTGCTGGTCTGTTGCACTCCCAGTGGGCAAAGGAAGCAGCAGCAGTGGCAGCGGCAGCGAGGGAGGCAGTGGCGAGGCAGCAGGAGATTGAGAGGGTGGCGCTGCTGTTTGGGTTTGCTGCTCGCTGTGCCGTGGGAGGGGGGCAGTGGCAACACAGGCAGGCATTGATGATGTGATCTGCCGATCTGCTGATCTGCTGATCTGCTCGGTGGCAGCAGCAGCAGCAGCAGCAGCAGCAGCAGCAGCAGCAGCAAACACAAGCAGCATGAGCAGTAGCAGCAGGAGTAGAAGCAGAAAGCGGTGTTAAGCTCTATTGCTGGCTGTGTTGTGGGTGGGCAATGGGCATCAATGTATACAGGCACACGTGGCTGCGCATGTTGCAATGTGTCGCACCTCTCGTGCTCCCACGTGGCACAGTGCATGCCCTGTTGCTAACCCAAAGCAGCATGTGCTGCATACGTGTACAGACTGGATGCCCTTGCAGGGAACAAACAGTCCCTAGTGACGCTTGCTTTGGATCCTGGGCAGTTGAACTCATCTCGTCTGCTCCAACTGCCCTACACTAGCACTGTTAGGAGAGTTGGGCACATGGTGAGCACTGAGGACTGGGCAATGCAGTGGAGTGGCATTGGTGGCACCATAGCCAGATTTTATGCATTTGACCCCTGTACTACTGATCCTTTTGGTTCACAAATGTACTGTAGTGTACACTAACGCTTTGTGTGTTTGGTATGTATGGCCATGGTGGGAGGAGAGGAGAGTTGGGCACATGGAAAGCTCAGGCAAAAAGCCATGGCAGTCCCTTGAAAATTGCTACCAACGATATGTGGCATAAAATACCGTAGCATTACAGAACATTGCACCAGGACAGGAGGAAAAATGAGTACGGGAGCACCTCTGGTGCAAGCAAACAGCGGTGAAGCGCCAGCTAGCCTGGACGGTGAACACAAACAAGGCGCATCGTTTGCAGTTGCCTGTATGTATGGCCAATGCAAAACATGCCGCTTTACACCAAGAGGAAAAGGAATCTTCTGAGGAGCAACTCTGGCGCAAGCAAGCAATGGTGGTGGTGGTGCCAGGTAGCCTGGAGAAGTGAATGCCCTTGCGGGGCACAAAAACAGGCGACTGGCACCACCATTTGATAGGTAAGTAGTGTTAGTGTGTTGTGTACAGGTGAAACCACTCGAGCGTCGAGCGATGGAGAAACCATCCTGACCCGAGGGTTAAAAGGCACTCGTGCCGAGTGATGATGCATGCGGCGACAGCCAGGCAGGGACAGAAGCCACTGGAGGCACCACTGCTGGTCAACGTGCATGGAGCACCGCTTGAGCAGCAGGGAAAAAACCCGGGTGACTGGCCGGTAGCATGCAGACGCCCCTCGTTCTCCTCCCCCGTTTCCCCCCAGGCACTTCTTTGAGTCAACCGAAAATCCTTGTGATTGGCTGGGGTGGCAGCACGCAGACCCTCCCTTCCCTCCTTTCCTCCCTTCACCCCCCTCCCTTCCAACACATCCACCGCACATGATGCCCTGCCATGCAGGCTCCGCAGCTGAACTGTGCTATGCTCTCTGCGGCTGTGCCAACTCTCTCTTCTCTGCTACTGTCTATCGCGCACTGAGAACCGAAGCTCCTCTGTGAGAGCCTTCCCCTGCGCGTCCGCCCACGACACGCTGCGAGGCAAGGCCAGAGGCTGCCCCGCCCTTCCCTGCTGGTAGCGCAGGCTGGTGCGCAGGGCGGGGCGGAGAGAGCTGGGCCAACTGGGGGCACTAGGAAGGGGGGCTCTTGGGGTGGTAGGCTCGTGAGCGGAGTGAGAGGGAAGGGGGGAGAGGGCAGGGGAGGCAAGTGAGAGAAAGGCGATGGGAGTGGGCGCAGAGGGGCAGCGGCTCGATGTGGTGGGGACGTGTGTTTGGTTGAATGGCTGTGTGGGGGTTGATGAGGAAGGCACGTGGAGGGAAGCAGAGGAGGAGGAGTGCGAGGAGCGAAAGGAGTGGAAGGGAGAGGGGGATGTGGAGGCGGGGGGCAAGGAGGCACTGCGGTAGGGTGGATAAAGGCAGGATGAGGAAGAGGAGGAGGAAAAGGAGGAGGAAAAGGAGGAGGAAAAGGAGCGAGGTGAGCGAGAGGAGGAGGAAGAGGAGGTGAGAGGCAAGGAGGCACTGCGATAAGGTGGGTATAGACAAGGAGAGGAGGACGACAGAGAAGAAAAGGGAGAAGAGGAGGAGGAGAACGAGGAGGGCGGATGCACAGACGGGGAGAGTGGAGGGTGAGGCATGCGAGGGTGGCTAGTCCGCGAGGGGAGGGGCGTGGAGAGCACATGGGCCTTGCAGGCTGCTTGCCGCACCTGGTGAGCCATCAGCCGCTGCCACACCCCCTCCCCTCCCACCGCCTCAACACGAGTGCCATCCTCTCGTCCCCCCTCGTCCCCACTACCTTGTTCTTCTTCCCCCCCCGCCATATCATCACACTCCTGATCCTGCTCCCCTTGGCCCTCCTTCCTCCTCTCCAGCCTTGCTGCCTCCTCCTGATCGCCCATCTCATTTCCGCTGTTGCTCGCATCCCTCTGCTCAACCCCCCCTCTCTCCCACAGCAGCGCCTCCCAAAAAGCAGCACTAACGCCACCACTGCACCGCCTCGCCTCCCTGCTGCCCTCCCCTGGCCGTTGCTGTGAGGCACAGCTGCTGCGGCCGTTAACCCACACTGCGCTGGCGCTGCCCGTCTCAGTACTCGTGTCATGAGGCCCACCACAGGCGCTGCTGCCCTCACGCGTCCCTCTGCTGCTGCTGCTGCTGCTGCCCACACACGGCCCTTGCCCCGAACCACAGCTGCGCGCACCATGAGCCGCAGCGCTCGTGGCGGGAGCACCACTGCTGCCACCACAGCTGCTGCTGCCACCGCTGCCGCTGCTGCTGCCACCTCTGCCGCTGCTACCACCGCTGCTGCCTGCTGCTGCCATGCCCTGAGGCGCTTCTGTCGCTCCCCTGCAGGCCCAATTGAAGCCATTACTTGCAGCAGAGAGTTGCCGTGGCTCAAGTTCCTGGGGATGAGAGCATGCAGGTGCAGGCAGCATGCCTTCAAGGGGGCCAGCATGCGTGCTTGCAGTCCACAGCCCTCTTCCGCCCTCCCTCTTGCCCCCCACTCCCCTGGGGCCCTCTGCATTCCCTCTCTGCCACTCCTCCCCCTCTTCACCCCCCACCGTCCCCTCCATCCCGTCCGTCCCCTCGTCTCCACCAGCCCCGCCCATGAGCACCAAACCCAGGAATCCGCCCGCCCCCGCTCTGCCTCCTCCTCCTCCCTTCTCTCCCACGCCACTCGCCCCTTCCACGCCACTCGCCCCTGCCACGCCACTCGCCCCTGCCACGCCACTCGCCCCTGCCACGCCACTCGCCCCTGCCATGCCCGCACTCCACAGGCGGGCAGCAGCGGATTGCAGTCGCGCTGACAGCACAGCAGCAGCCTCCCCGCCTGTGCTGCTGCGATTGCCTTCACTCACACACTGGGGCCCAGCCGAACCTAATACAGCTGAATATGATGTGGCCGAACCTAATCCAGCCGAGCCTGAACCACCAATATAAGTAGCAGCAACGCTGTCAGCGCAAGCACCATCGCCATCAGGAGTGGTGACAGCTGTAACGATGACAGTTAAATCTTCTTTGCTCCAGGACTCTCCACAACCGCCCCCTCCTCCACGTTGCTTCCAGGGGAAGCAAAGGACTGCCGCCCTGCCTCTTTCCTCACACCCCAGGCTACAAAACTTGCTCGAGCCCGCAGTTACGCTGAAATTCATCCGTAACGTCACATCTACAGTGCGTGTACACTGCGGGTTACCACACAAGCCTGCGGCAGCGCGCTCGTTCATGACGTCACACAGCTCCCTGCGCGTCAGCAGCCGCGACGCGGCATCCAGCTGGCGGCGCTTGATTGGCGGGCCTTGCAGGAGGTGCAGCTGTATGCTGAAAGCAGCGAGGTGACGCGCCTGTCGAGACAAGGCAAGAGTGGGAGGGGAAGGGTACACACAAGCGAGGAAGAGTCAATTAACATTCAGCACGAACCCTAAAGTTTCTGAAATCAGCTTGGATAGTCGAGAGCCGTGTTTGCAGCAGAGCAAGGAGAAGGGCGAAGCACGGAGAGCACGTGCAGCGATGGCGCTAAGAGGTTCGGAAGACGAAGCGGATGCTTACCTGGCGGTTAAAGTGAGCGCGATCCGCTCGGCTGACTGGCGGCTCGTCACTGCTCATCGGGCTGCCGTGATTGCGTAGCAGGCCGAGGCGTGTGAGAGACGTGATGTGCGGCGAGGTGAGAAGAGGCGATGATGTGAAGTGGAGAAGACGAGTGGCGAGGCACGGCAGAGGAGACGATGGTGGCGTGAAGGGAGAAGATGGAGCGACAGGGTTCGATGCGGCGAGCCGGAGTGAACAATGAGGCAGGCATGCGGCTTGCTTTTATTGCACGGGACGAAGAGCTTCGAACGAAGTGCAGGACACGGCAGGTGCGATCCCCTCGAGGGGATTCTGGCGACGCGATCAGTGGTACGAATTTTGTCGGATTCGCCAGCTAACGCCGACGCTGTCCCTGCCTCTTGGCGGATCGCGTGATGCTGTCGAATCGGCGCGATTGATTCGCGAAACTTGGATCTTGATTAGAGGTTGAGTAGGTCGCGAGTAGGGAAGGGATCGCCGGTAGGTGGATCGCGGGCAGAGGGAATGGGGAGTGGGGGAAGGTTGGTGGAGCAGGTAGGCATCGCGGCTAATCGAGTAAGAGATTCGATTCGCGCTCCAGCTACGCCCGAGTCGATCGATTACGGCCCTGATTGGACGATAAAATCGAAGAGGACGCTGAGATGATGAATCATCCGGGCGTTTCGTTCCAGGGTTCTCGATCCCATTGCGCCTCGCGGCTACCAGAATTGAATTCGTCACGAAGGACCGACGAAAGAGCGTGCCACCCAAAGGCTGTCATGAGATTGCGTGTAATTGGCTGCTGCTCGCCGTGATCCAGCCGTGGTCCCGCCGAGACGGTGTAACCAGCCTGGCATCATACGTGGGATAAGATCGGCATCCCAGCGGCGTGCGCTGCTTACGCATGGTCCCATTACAGTTCGATTGTGCATCCATCCAGCAGCCATGGCTGGCGTATCCGTGGCGTTGCGCGTCGCTGGCATGGTCGTCGTGAGCGCCCTTGGAGCAAGGCTCGAATCCGAGTTGGCCCTCGAGCCTGTCAGTGCAGCAGCGTGTGCTGCTGTGACTCCACGCGAGCTGCGGCATGTATTCTACCAGTTTAGAGCCTAGGGTCTCAACATCTCATGAGGCTTCTAGGGATCTTGTTTGCGATACAAGAGGTCTCGTATTGTGTATGCATCCAAACACTCTTCTGAAACCGTGTAAGCTGCTGAGAGGGTCGTGTCAAATGGACTAGTTATGGTTAATGAACCTTTTATGAGTCTGTTATATACAAGTAGTCCCTACATACCAACTCAGCAAACAGCTAGAGTGGAACTCCCAAGGTCGCTATGGATCTCGTTTGGCACTTCAAACGGGTCAATGATGCAGCAACAAAATACTTTTGATCACACTAGGACCACATTGTTTTTATGTACTACAGAGTCAAGATTTTTTTGCTCGAGTAGCATAAGTGTCCTAAAGTTGGTCATCACATGGAGCTCCAACAGCTTTCACGCAAGGTCCTTCTGCACTGGCATCAAGTTAACTAGCAGTCTCAATGGTGAAATTCGTTATCTTCCAGACTCGAAGGCAGGGGCATCACGAATAAAGCAAGTACGGTAACACGGGTAGCCTCCCCAACACTGAACAAACTCACACTCTGACAACCACTCCAGCATGAAGCAACTCCCCTTGAGCCCTCTCAGAAACCTTACTCGCCTCCACTTTAATGCCACAGCCTCGGCACTCCCCCAGTAGCCGTCTGCAGTGGCCCCACCGCATTGCACCCCACCATAATGAACCGAGTCAGCACCTCCAGTTCACTCCAATGACCGCATCCTACATCCCACACGTGAGCAGCATGTACTTGTCATGACGCAGTGACAATGCATGCATACGCGCGGTGCCATGTGGGAGCACTGTCGAAGGAAATGGCCCCGCCCTCGCTTGAGCGTAGCTGATCTCGCTGTAGACGGGAAGTTCGCGACGGATCGGTCGACGAAACGGGCATCTGCAGTTCGGCAGAAGTTGCGGTCGAGCAGGTTCTGCTCGACGGATTCTGGTCGACGAGCTCTGCGCGACAGGTTCTGGTCGACGATCTCTGCGCGGCGAGCTTCCGTCGAAGAGCGCTGGTCGAAGAACTCTGGTCGAAGAGTTCTGGTCGAGAAGCTCTGCACAGCGAACGTTGTTCGACTGTGCAGAGTCGAGCTGATCGACCGAAGCTGCAGAGTTGCGCGAAACTCTGCGAAGGCGTGCGAACATTCGCCCAGGAGATTTTGGCGAAGTTCTACCTGCGGAACGGCATCACGTGGTCGACGGCGCGCACCTGGCGAAACCGACGACACGTTTTCTACCTGGCACCTGCGCAATGTGCCTGACGGTGAAACCGCCAACCTGCACCTACTTGGTAGGTGCGCACATCTGCGCAGATAGACAACCTGCGACCGTAGAAAGTTACCTGCGATTGCAGATAGTCACATGCGACTGCAGTGCTGGCAGACCGCGCGCAGTGCAACGCTGGCAGACTCCTCTGCTGCAGCGTTGGCAAGCCGCTCTTCTGCTGCGCTGGCAGAGTTCGCCCTTGCTAGGAGTTCCATGCCATTCTAGTCTTTTGTTCTGCATGCATGTCTTCATTGTACTCTATTATTTTCCTATCAACTTTGTTATTGCAAGTTGTTCTTTTCTTTAGTGGAATTCTTGCCTAACTTCTCAGTGAACATAGCAAGCAGTAAGAACGCTAGCAGAGCGCTACGATCACTCACACAACCCCGTGCCCTCCTCCGTAGTCCACTCCCGTTGTGTAGTGACTCTCCGCATGGTGCGGTGAGCGTGGATCGAACACGCGACCTTCAGATAGCCGACTTTTGCATTCCTTACCTAAGTTGTAGTAGGCCGGCAACTATCTAGTCCGCCATGGTCGACCATGAGGAGGTCGCGGCAGGCGTAGAGGATACCCTGCAGGCGCGGTTAGAAGACGTTCGGGCACGCCACGCAGCTGGCGAGTACGGCGGAGCAACCTTGGAGGTTATGCTCTTTGGAACCCGCGTGCAGTGGGCGCGCGAGCACCCAACGACCCGTACTGAGGCGGATGGACTGCCCGCCACTCCCCGACCGGCACGCAACGAAGGTGGCGTCGACGACCAGGTCGACGGTGGTAACCAAGTCGGCAGCGACGGAGGCACGAGGATGACACGTGGAGTGATTTGGGCAGCCGATGGCGGCATCGGCGGAGTGCAGGTGCGAGCTCAGCGTTCGGCAGCAGCAGGAAGCTTGAACGGCATCAGCGACGGTCGACGACGTTCTCCTGAGCGGAGTGGAGTCGGGCCGACTTCGGCGATCCATGCGTCAACTGGTCGAGACGGAGGAATCGCGCCGTCGTATGGCTACTTTAAATTTTCGCCAGACAAGATCGTTGTGCCGAAGCCGCTCGAAGGTCGGCACGACTTGATCACGTGGACGGAGTCCACTGAACCGCAGCTGGAGATCGCCGGATTGAAGAGGTTCGTCGACGGAGACGTGTTGGCGCCGGACGAGGAGGAGGTTGGGCTCTGGTCGGAATTTCGCGCAGCTCAGCTTCTGAGCTTTATGGTCATTTCGAGGTGCTGCTCGCCGCTGGTGCAAGTCGCATTGAAGTCGTGCAGATTTCGGGTGGATGCTGGCTACCAAGCGTGGCAGTACATCATGCGCACCTACAAATCGACCGACGACCTCTACATCGGCCAGCTGGAGCAGAAATTGACGAACATCAAGATGGGCGACCAGGAGTCTGCAACCGTGCTCGGCGGATTTTGGCCGAGCTGCGGATGGCTGGCGTCAGCTACTCTACAGCTTCCTACATTACGCACGTCCTCAAGGGTCTGCCGACGGGCAAAAATTTGTTGCGCCGAATGCTGGCGATGCCTGGCGCGCGTGACACGCTCAACGAGGACACGCTGTCGAGCCAGATCATCAACGACGAGTTCATGCAGGAGTCCGAGAGGTCCGCAGAACTGCTTCCGCAGGCCAACTACGTCGCCCCGGCGAAGCAGGGACGCCAACAAGGGCAACGTGGGAAGTCTACCGAAGGCGGTGGCGGGAAGTCGTCGAACGCGAAATCGACGGAGGGTGCCGACTGCGGAAAATCGGCGAAAGGAGGAGATCGCGGCAGCAGTGGCTCGCGTCGAGAAGGCCGCCGTTGCTACATCTGCGATGCTCCCGACCACCTCTCGTACGACTGCCCCGATCGAGACGAGTCTGACGACGACCGGGACGCCAACCGCAGGAAGGGCGAAGGTGGCCGTCGTCGTCGGGACAACCAGCCGCGCAAGGAGAAGCAGCCGTCGAAGACGTCTTCGACGAAGGATGCTGACTCCTCTGGCGGCAAGGAGGCTCGTGGCGAGGAGACTTCGTGCTCGATGGTCAGCGTGGTGGAGCCGACGATTTCCCTGGCGCTAGAGGCTGGCGAGGACTTCAAGGCGGTCGCTGCTGCTGTGGAGGCGAATCCGACAATCGTTCTCCTCGACAGCGGTTGTTCCCACCATCTGATGGGGTCGAAGGAGGCGTTCGTCAAGATGAAGCCTCGCGGCGATGTCAAGCATGTGCGTGGCTTCAACGGGGCGCTGCAGAACGTCGAAGGCCGTGGCACCGTCGCTCTGCAAGGGGAGACGGGGAAGCAGATTCTCGTCCCCGACGTACTCTACGTTCCGGGTGTGCACGCGAACCTGCTGTCTGCTGGCCAGCTCAAGGAGAACGGCGTGAAGTTCCAGGACGATGGCGCGGAGACGCTGCTAGTGTCTTCGGCCGGCGATGTCCTCGGTCGCGCACGCTACTCTGGCAGAGTGCTCTGCACGGACCTGCCCCTCTGCTCGACGAAGTCGACGGCGACTTCGACGGAGGTTGTGGCTCTGCGGACGATCGCGTCGGCGACGAAGTCTACCCCGGGCCAGCTGCACGCTCGCCTTGCGCACGTCGGCATCGACACGATCAAGAGCTCGGCGAAGCATGAGGTCGCCACCGGTCTGGACATCAAGACGTCGACCGCAGATGATCTGCCGTGTGCCTCCTGCGTCGGCGGCAAGCTTGCACGCCATACCTTCCCC